TTTTTTTTTTTTTTTTTTTGAGAAGTAAAGAGAGCATAGGGTATGTGCTCTCGCCAGAAAGACAGGGACAGACAGACAGACAGAAAGTGAGAAATCACCCCCCAAGGGGGATGGCCACGCCGCAATCCCTTCTCCTCCATTCTCTTCTTGGAATCTTGGGCACGCGTAAACACATGCCTGGTGTGAGTTTAAGCCACCGGGCCCAGGACTCAAACCGCGGTCGACCACATGGGAGTCCAGAGACATAGTCATTACACAATTGCTTGTCCCTCTTTTTTTCTTTTTCTTTTTTTTTTAAGAATTACTTTCTTTATTATTATTTTTAAATCTTTGCTATAAGGCACATGCACTCACCAGAAAGAGACACGTGGGGCAGGAGGTGAGAAAGTGGGGTCCGGAATTCAAACCACAGTTGGCCGTGTGGGAGTCCAGCATCTTACCCACTACGTCACCTGCTGGTCCTCCCTTTTCTTTATTAAACACCCAAGTGCTGAATTTAACTGGGGGAGGTGAAGGGCATGCTATTTCCCCGCTTTGTTATTGTAGCCAAGTGCAGAAGGACCAAAAGTTAAATCCTGTTAAAGAAGTGAGCAAGACTTAAGCAAAGAACTAAAGGCAAACTGAGTAAAAGCCAAGAGAAGCATCATGAACAGCATCCTTCAAGTTGACAGATATTTGAAAGGCGACAGGAGCTGAAAGTGTCCTTCGGGTGTAGTTGTGTAACCCCTCATCTTACAGAGAGCTAGGCAGGGCTCATTCGCAAACAACAGCTCATACCAGGGGAACCAGAAACCAGGTCTCTGTCCTTTGCTTTTAGCCCAGTGTCCAAAGGCCATTTCCTGCTGCTCCTTTCTCTTTTAGGAAGAGGAGGCAGTTAGTTCCACAGAAATCCAACTCAAACCAGCTTGGGAAGAAGAAAAATAAACTCACTATGAAACCAGGGATCATTTGGGGCTAGACAAGGGGAGGGCTGCACTCACATTTTGGGGCCCACCCAAACAGAAACTCAGATGCTGTGAGGCTGCAACTGTGCACGTCTTTCCTCTCTCTGCTTCTCTCTTCACGTCATTGGTTCATCCAGACTGGCATCCTCCTCAAGCCCATCATCATGACCAATGACTACACCGTCTTTGTCATTAGAGTAGAAGGGACTCTCAGGGTCAGATGGCAATGCAATGGTAGTGCAATAGGACCTACGTGGAGAAAGTCCTGGGTTTGGCCCCAGGACTACCCTGGGCACGCCATAGGCATGCCCCACTCTGTACCCAGGGTGCGGAGCAATGGGCTGGAAACAGCCATCAAACCACAATACTGCAGTGAAGTGGGAAAACTTCAACCTAAAGGGAATGTTCTTGGAGAAGAAAGGCAGAGGCCTGGGAAGGCAAACACCGTGTATCCACCACACAATTCCTCCTCTTTTACACAGCTCTGCCCAGTGACCTCGTCTCAATTTTTTTTTTTTTAAATTTGCCATAGAGTGGGTACACTTGCCAGAGGGAAAATGAGAAAGAGAGAAAGAGAGGGAAAGTGACAAATTACCCTCCTCCCCACCCCCCCACCCCCCGAAGATGGTCACACTGGAATCCCCTCTTCTACAATCCTCTTATAATTTTAGGCATGCTCGCACATTGGCACTTCTCAAGCTGTCAGGTCCAGGACTCGAACCACTCAGTTAGCCATACAGGATCCAGCCGTTAACTACCACACCACTGGCTGGCCCCATCTAGGTTTTTGTCAACAGTCAGAATCCTGAGATGCTTTGCTGATATACATTGTATCCCAGACATTCCAGTCCATCATCCACCCGGGTAGACTACTTAGCCCAGCAGAAATCCAAGTCTCAACAGAAAATCAATGATTAACACTTATCCTGACCCACAGTGCTGGATGACATTAGGCAAGCGTGAAGATTTTATTTTAAAATCACTAAATCCTTATTGCTCTGAGTTCCACGACCTCAAATGGCTGAACTCAGAAGACCACACATCACTGGGAAATATTCATCATGCAAGAACACTTTAACTCAGAGCATAGCAAAGTAAATAAACAAATAAATACCTGTCTTTCTTGCACTCCCTGTCCCCTCATCTCAGATCACACTTCTGAAATTTTATTTTTCTCAGTTGAACACCTCAAGAATAAATATTTCACCACTTCCCTTTATAAATAAAAATTACACACTTGTTTCTTTTGCAAATTTCTCAATGACCGGGGCCAGCAGGTAGTGTGGTGGTTGAGGCGCTGGACTTTCCCATGGCCAACCACCGTTCATTCCAGTCCCGGACCGAACAGCGTGTTTTCTCACCTTTCCTCCCCCTCTCTCTCTCTCTCTCTCTGTCTCTCTCTCGTGAGTGCACATGCCCTTTAGCAAATTAAAATAATAAGAAGGATAAATAAAGTTAAATAAATAATTCTTTTTAAAAATAATCTCGGGACCAGCAGTTGGAGTAATGGCTGTGTCGCTGGACTCCCATGTAGTCGACTACAGTTCGAGTACTGGACCTGTTAGCTTAAACTCACACCAGGTGTGTGCGTGTGCGTGCCCAAGATCCCGAGAGGAGAATGGAGGAGAAGGGATTGTGGCGTGGCCATCCCCCCCCCAGGGGGTGATTTCTCGCTTTCTGTCTCTCTGTCTCTTTCTGGCGAGCACACTCACCCTACAGAAAAAACCTCTCCAAAACAAAAAGAGAGAGAGAGAAAATAAATAAATAATCATTTTAAATACATGAAAATACCACAAACAAAACTGTATTATGTATGGCAAAGTGATAATATACATAGTACATGAGAATTTTTTATAATTTCATAACAAACAAACATATACCCACAAATATGAACGTAATGAGGTAATCTATAAAAGAATTATGAAAAGCTTAAAACAAATGAAAAGATATGCAACCTAACTAAAAAAGAATGCAAATAAGAAGCTGACACCAAAGGGAGGAGAACTGATTCTCCCTTCATGTCCCCGATCTTTTTTTAAAGAAAGAATTATTTAATTTTATTTACCATCATTATCATTTTGTAATTTGCTATAGGGCATGTGTGCTCAGCGGAGAGAGGGAGATTGAGAGAAAGAAAGGGAAAGCAAGCCTCCAGGTCCAGGATTCAAACCATGGTCTACCATGCCAGAGTACCTTAATGCCACGCCACTTGCCGGCCCCACCTTGCAGATATTTCTTTTTTTTTTCCTTAATTTTTAAATAATTATTTATTTATTTACGTATTCATTCATTTATTTCTTAATTTGACCAGAGAGAGACAGAGGGTGAGAGTGAGAGAGAAAGGAAGTGAGAAAGCAAGCCACCAGATTCAGGACTCGAACCCTGGTCGGCCACGTGGGAGTGTCCAGCGCCTTAACCACCACGCCACCTGCTGGTGCCATCTTGCGGATATTTCTAATGGTTCGTTCTTTCCAACATGTCAGGCTGGCTGGGCATGGCACAAATGCTGCTGGCTTTCCTGGGAAGGGATGCCAAGTGCACGTGAGCGGACCGGCTTATCCTGATGTCATCACAATTCCTTCCAAACCCCTCCCAAGGTCAGTGACTGGACCCTGAAGGATCTGAGATGGGTTTAAATAGAACGCTGGTTGGTACCAGCAGATGGTGTAATGGTTACTTAGCTGGACTCCCATGTAGTCAACCCCAGTTCGAGTCCTGGATCCAGTGACTTAAAACTCAGGCTGGGTGTGTGCACGTGCGTGCCCAAGATCGCCAGAGAAGAATGAAAGAGAAGGGATGCAGCATGGCCACCCCTCCTGGAGGTGATTTCTCGCTTTCTGTCTCTCTGTCTCTATCTCTCTCTCTAATGAGCACACATGCCCTATAGCAAAAATCCCTCTAAAATAAATAAAAAGGATGTTGGTTGAATTGGGGGCCAGCAGGTGGAGTAGTGGTTAAGGTGCTGGCCTCCCACATGGCCAACTGTGGTTCAAGTCCTGGACCCTTTGACTTGAAAATCACGCCAGGCACATGTGCATGTGTACCTGAAATTCTGAGAGCAGAATGGAGAAGGGATTGTGGCGTAGTCACGCCCCTTTCTTACTTTACATATATATAGGTTGAATTTACTCAAGGCAATACATCCCAGGGCCTGAAAATTCCCTCTCCAATCTGTTCTCCAGCTTACATTTTCCCAGGTAGAACACTTAGTAGAACTCACTAGAGATTATACATGAACTCAAATGAAGGCATAAAACTACTCCAAATAATGCTAGCAATATTAAATTGCCCCGACTTGAACTATATGAAGTACTTCACATTATTAAATTCTTAGGGAGGTATTAAAGTCTAAAAAAAAAAATGTTCTTTTTCTTAAAGTTTGAGGGCTAGAGAAATTAAAAGTCCAAACGAAGTCCTCTCCACTTTCTCTTAGCCCAGAGTCAGTCGGAGGGGTCTCATTTAATGATGGTGATAGAACCCGGCTCCTGTGACAGCTGCAGGAAAATTTCAGCCTCAGGCTCTCCAGGGTGTCCACCTCTTGGCCAGTTGTCGGGAGTCCATGACTTTTGAATTAAACGGGGAGAAATCCAGAGATCCGTCCTGCTGCTGGGGCCCTGGAAACCTCCTGAACTTGGCAGATGTCCAAGACTGACTGGGGCCTGTGTTCCTGTGGGGGTAGCACTCTTCGGAAGCTCCTGTTTCTCAAAATCATAAGAAGTAAACCCACCTCCATGTACATTTCAAAATAACCATGTGAGCAGACTTCAAATGTGTACAACACAAATGATAAATGTTTGAGATGGCAGATATGTTTATTGCCCTGATTTGATGATTACACATTGTATACATGGATTTTTTCGTTTTTTTTTCCATTTTATTTATTTATTTATTTATTTTTTTATTATTTTAATTTGACTAGAGAAAGATACAGAGAGAGAGAGGGAGGGAGAAAGCACCCTGCAATGGGACACGAACATGCCGCAATCCTTTTTCCTCCATTTCTCCTCCGTTCAGGATTTGGGGCATGCACACATACCCAGTACCGAGGATGGGGTTCAAACCACAGTCAGCAATGTAGGGTCTGGCTCTTATAACCATCAGGATACAGGGCCAGTCCTGTATACGTGCTTGGAAAAACACACTGTACCCCACAAGATGTACAACTATAGTATGAAAATGAGAAATTGCAATAAAAATAATTTTTAAACATGTAAATCCACCTCTAAGGAAGCATCTCTGCCCTTTTCCGTGTAAGACGTTCCCAGCTCTGGCCAACGCCTTGCCTCTTCCACATGGAACTCTGAAGTCTCTGAAGAGATGAAGGTGCTTTTCATGGTGTGTGGAGAAGGCCCCACCGAGACAAAGAACTTGAATAGCCAGGCCTCGCTGGCTTTTCCTCCTAGTCTATTCGCACTTATATCTGTGCAGTGAAGTCTCCACAAACACCAAGGGACGGGAGTCGGAGAGGCTCCTGAGAGCGGAACCTGTTCTGTGGAGGTTCCCGGTGGAGGATGCACCCAGGGAGGGCACGGCAGCCCCACATGCCATCTCACACGCTGTGCCCTGTGCCTCTCTTTATCCACTTCCTGTTGAAGGATGGCTTCTGTGATGATACCCAGACTCCTGGTGTTTTGGACTAAAAATGGAATGAAACACACAAACAGCAAAAGGAAAAGTAGTTTATTAAATAAAAGTGAAAGTACACTCCTGAGAGGTAGGTGCAGGCCCGAGTGGATGGAGAAAGGGTGGCTCAGGCGGCCCCGGCAGCCACATTCCGCAAGGTTTATTATTTTTTAATCTAGGTCATGTCGGTTGATCATTGGCTGGGCCCCCTGACTGTTCTCATCTCACTGCTTCTATCAAATGTGGCTGGGCCCATGGATTTCTCATTGGCTTAGTCAGCTAAGACCCTGTGAGTCTCCTGTCTACATTACCTGGGGCAGGGAGTTTTCTGCTTTGATCAGTTTTCCTATCTAGCCACATGGGCAAACGCTCCAGCCCCCTTACCCACTTCCATTGGCTAACTTTCTCCTGCCTCACTCTCTCTTAGAAGAAAGAAGTATACTTTTTTTTTTTTTTTTTAGAGAAGTTTTTGTTACAGGGCACTCACCAGAGAGAAAGAGAGGGACAGAGAGACAGAAAGCAAGAAATCACCCTGCAGGGAGGATGCCACACTGCAATCCTTTCTCCTCCATTCTCGTCTTGGGATCTTGGGCATGCACGCACATGTGCCCGGCGTGAGTTTAAGCCACCAGGTCCGGGACTTGAACCCCAGTTGACTACATGGGAGTCTAGCGACATACCCATTACACCATCCACCATCTGCTGGTCCCTTTTTGAACTTTTTTTAAGAATTATTTTATTTAACTTTATTTATTATTATTATTTTCCAGTTTGATTAGAGAGAGAGGGAAAGTGAGAAAGCAACCAACAGGTCCAGGACTTGAACCATGATCGACCATGTGGGAATCCAGCACTTTTAACCACCATGCTACCTACCAGCCCCTCACTTTATTTTTTTAAAGCACTCTGGCTGCAGTGCATGGATTGAGAAGAAATGACATTATAGAGGACCAAAAAGGCAACTACTAAAATGGCCCAAGAAAGATAAATTAAAGATTATTTTCTACACAATGAAAAAGTTTCTCTAGGGTCTCTCTTAAGATTCGGTAGAACTGTTATCTCATAAAATATCCTTTAGACCTTTCTTTATCTTATAAAATATCCTTTAGGGTCGGCCCCACAGTGGAGAGGTTAAGAGAGCCAGATCTCATATGGCCAATCGCAGTTTTAATTCTGGGCCAGACTGGAAAAGCATGCTGGGCACAAGCTTGGGTGCCCCAAATCCCAAAAGTGTGGAGAAATGGACAAGAAGGGATGTCAGTATGACCATGTTCTACTGGTGGGGATGCTTTTTTTCTCTCTCTCTCTCAAGAGCACACAATTCCTCTGGCAATTAAAAGAAAAAAAATCCTTTATAATGAACCAATAACCATATTTTCCTGAGCTCTGAGCTACTCTAGCAAATTAATCAAACTCAAGGAGAAAAAAGGTTCATGGGAACCCCAATTTCTAGCTAGTTGGTCATAAGTGCTGGAGGTGTAGACCTGCCACTGGTGTTTAGTGTGTGTGCATGACAGGGCTCCAGCCCTCAATCTGCAGGATCCAGCATTATCACCAGGCAGATAGTGTGAGAACTGAGATGGATTAGAAGACCCCAGTTGGCATCCACTGAAGAAACTGACTGCTTGCTTGTTGGTGGGAGAAATCTCAGATGTTTTGGAAACACAGAAGTGATCTGTATTGTGAGAGTCAAAGAAAAAGAATGCATTTTCCTGGATTTGCAATGGAAGAGAACCAGGGGTCTCAAATGGACCAAACATGGAAAACCCCTAAATGATTATAATCTTTGTAAATTGTGGAGATAACTCAGGCTTGTGTTAAGTTTCCATTTTTATTTTTATATTTTTATTTTTTATTTGCCTTTTTTTTTAAGAGAGATTTTATTTTTGTTACAAGGCACATGCACTCACCAGAGAAAACAAAAGAGAAAAATCACCCTTCCCCCCGGGGTAGGATGGCCATGCCACAGTGCCTGCCCTCCCATTCTCCTCTCAGGATTTTGAGCATGCATGCACATGTGCCCTGCTTGAGTTCTAAGCCACTGGGTCCAAGACTCGAACTGTGAAAGTTCATGAAAGTTAAGCAATGTAACCATTTTGCCATCTGCTGGTCCCTTATTTGCCTTTATAAAAGTTTATTTCTAGAGATAGAGACATGCCCCCCCACCCCAGTAGGATCAGCAGGCTGCAGACCACTCCCTGCCTCAGCTGGCCTGGATCACAGGTGCATGCCTGGTGTGCTCAGGTGGGTTCTGGCTCACAAGCCTAGGAACTCTGTCATGTGTGTTCGGCCACATCAGCACTGCACCACCACCTGGTCCCTGTCATCCTCTTAAAATAAGGTCACTTGAAAGGCATTGCAAAACCACAGGCAACCAAGGGTCTCAGGTATGAATTTCTATTTTAGCTTAAAGGTCTAAAATGTTAACCTCCAGCAAAAGATTCATGGTAAGTCTATTCCTCTTAGTGAGAGAAGACACTAGACTGTAACTTATCTACTGTATTCTAAATCTGAGCCTTAAAGACCAAGCGCTTTACTTTGACTAAGATGGGGTGATTTTAGAAAAGTTATTGAAAATATTTTAGTATTATTTATTTTTTTTTGAGAGATTTTTGCTATAGGATGCATTCACTTGCTGGAGAGACAGAGAGAGAAAGTGAAAAATCACCCCCCTCCCAGAGGTGATGGCTACACTGCAATGCCTTCTCTCTTATTCTACTCTTGGGATTTGGGGCATGCATGCATATGTGCCTGGTGTGAGTTTTAAGCCGCTGAGTTCAGGATACAAACTGCGGTTGACTATGTAGGAGTCCAATGACATAACCGCTATGCCATCTTCTGATCCCTTAATATGGATTTTTTAAAAAAATAAATGAATGTAATTGAAAACTGGACCAAAACATTCTGAGACATTAGCCAATGTAAACTTACAGTTGTATTAACTGGGGAAGAGGACAACTACAGAAAGCCATACAAAGCCACGCGCCCACCAGGCACAGAAAATCAAGGGAAACGTCTCATCACTTCCCAGTCACTGTCTAGCCAGTCACTCATCCTACAAGCAACCGGCAGTTCACTTAATCAGCAGCAGCAGCACCGCTTGGACCAGCTTCTGACCGGATGCTGTGCCTCACTGGTATGCAGGTCTGTTCTTTCATGACAGTTAATGACAATAAATATTTGTGGAATAAATATTTGTGCTGGTGTGAATGCAAAAGGCCACACCAAGTAGAAAGAAAACAGGTTTGGGAGCCAAATCCTGCTTCTACTTTGTGCTACTTGAAGTCCCCTAAACAAGTTAATCCATCCCTCTTAGGCTTCATTTCTTCTTAAAAATAAAGATAACACATTTACTTTATGGGTCTGCAAGACCCACAATAATGACATGGAAGTGTCTCCTAGCCGGTATACAAGACGTTCAGCTCTTATGAAAGGTTCGGGTAAAGTCTGACTCCGGTATAAAGAAATCAGAGCTATTTCACAAATTGATCTGACTCTTTTAAAAACCCTACCCAAACTTTATCATTTAAGACATGATAAGGTTATCTAGCTTTAAGAGTTTGTGGAGTGTTTTTGTTTTTCTGAAAGAGGTAAAAGCCAGCTCCACCTTTCAAGGACTTAGAGAACTACTTTTGTAAGACGTTAAATAAACCAATTAGGCTGTCAGGAACAAAGTTAATAATTATGTAATCTATAGGAGGTGACCTTATCTATTTCTAAACTACCTGTTTCTACCCATTTCTGTTTGCTTTTAAAATTTACACTGGTCTAAAATTTGCAAACAGTACTAAGAAAACATCAGGCAAAGCCCTTTTATCCCCCATCTTACTGTCTGTGCCCTGTGAGCAGCAGGGCATACCAATGAGGTCCTGAAGTCATGGGGCAATGTCTTGTTTTTTATTTTTGTTTTCTTTTTTTTAGCTTTTTGACAAATTAAATTTAAAAATTCTCAGATAGATGTGTCAATATGAAATTAAGACTTTCAGCATCACAGTTTTTGTTTACTAGAGGGTGGATGTGCTTGTAGGAGAGAAACACAGAGAGAGGAAAAGTGAGAAATCACCCTCAGGGGTTTTTCTGCAATCCCTTCTCCGCCATTCTCTTGAAATTTGGGGCACACATGCACACACACTGGCGTGTTTTTGAAGCTGCTAGGTCTGGGATTTGAACCGTGCCATCAGCCATGTAAGATCCCACCACCAGAACCACCACACCACCTGCTGGCCTATGAAAGGATTTTTTTTTTTTTTTTAATTTTTAAAATCCAGCTTCTTTTTAGAAGTTTCATTTCTCTCATGAGAGACAGAAACCCCAAGTAAGTTCTCCATGCCACACTGCACTGAGCCTTAGCCAGCCTGGGTCGTGTGCACCCAGTGAGTGTACTAGACCTCAGGACACAGACCTGAGACCTTCTCATGTGGGTCCGGCAACACGGAGCAGTGTGCTACTGCGGCACCACCAGCTGGCTCCACAAAAGGGGTTTATAAAGGGGAATCTAGGGCCAGCTGGGTGTTATGGTGGTTAAGGTGGCCGGATCCCATATGGTTGACTTCCAGACCTGGTAGCTTGAAAAATATGCTGGCCACGTGTGCCCAAAGTCCCGAGAGAAGGAATTGCGTAGCATGGTCATCCTCCCAGGGGGTGCTTTCTCACCTCCCCCACCTCTGGCTAAAGCTGTGGGTGGACTATGGCCTGGAGACCTCGTTAGGGGTGACTGTCTCTCTTGCTCATGGAAGAAATAAATAAAATGATCTCTGTTCTATTTGTAGTTATCCTTCTAAAATGATTCCTTCTTTTTTCTAAAAATTATTTATTTAATTTATTCATTCGTTTATTTTAATTTGACCAGAGAGAGAGAGGGAAAGCAAGAAAGCAAGCCACCAGGTCTAGCACTCAAACTGTGGTCGGGCATGTGAGAGTGTCCTGTGCCCCAACCACCATGTCACCTTAAAATTATTCCTAATACTAGGAGTTTTTATTATTATTATTACATCTTGTTTTTTAAATTATTCCCTCAAAGGTTAGTCATTTACTAGTTTTTAAAAATCTTCTACTGATCAAAACTTATTTTATATTTAAAATATATTTCGCTATTCATGACAGAATGTGTGTGCATGCATGAAAGAGAGAGGGAGAGGGAGAGGAGCACTCTCCACAGGGTTTGGTCACACCACGACCCACCTAGCAGTCCTCCAGCCTCTGGCAGCCTGGGCACTTATGCTTGTGCCAGCACATTTCAGGTTGATTGGTCTGGGGATTTCAGTCACCATGTGGGATCCAGCTTCAGGTGAGCAGTGAGTGCAGGACCGAGACTAGTTTCTTTCCTGCAGCAGATGATTCTAGAGATTCAGCCAAGTTGTTGCGCGTATGAATGTATTCCTTATCATCCAATAATATTCCGTCCAATGGACACACCGCTATCATCCATACAGTCACCTGTTGGAAGGCATAATGGTGATTACGAATAGAGCCCCTATGAACATCCATGTGCACGTTCTGAGTGATGTTTCCATTTGTCTGGAGAAACCAGGAGCAGGGTTGCTGGGCCATCGGGTATGTGTATGTTTAACATTTAAAGAAATCACCAAACCCTGTTTAGTGACCGAAAATTCTGCATTCTCACCAACTATGAGAATTTTGATTGCTCTGCATACTCATCAATACTTGGCATTTCCTTTTTTAGATTTTAACTATTCTAATAAATGCATACTGATAGATCTGCTGATTTGAAAGAGAAGTGTTGAAATCTCTCATTATACTGTAGTTGGTCTGTACATTTCTCCTTGTATTTCTAAATTTTATCCTATTATTTTGAAGCAAAGTTTTAAAGTTACATGTACATCTAAAAAAAAAAATCTCTCTGCAACACCTCTTATTAGCCAAAAAGAAATGTTTGCCCTACTTAACGGTTTTCACCTTTGGTTCTGTTTAGTCTGAAGTTAATACAGCCACATCTACTTCAGTTAGCTTTTGCCTGGTATCTTTTTTACCTTCTCCTTATAAACTACTATAGTGTTTCAGATTCTTTTTTTTTTTTTTTTGCAAATAGAATGTAGTGGTCTTTTGTGTTTCTACTCAGCCTTAAGGATTCCAGATTAATTTATCTTCACTTACTATGAGGAAAGAACTTAGTCTTAAGATCTCGAGAGGTTTTTTAATTTGTCCTTTATATAATTTTTTTTTCCCTTGCCTCTTGCTGGATTTTAAAATTCCATTCTCCTTCCTGGAGCTTGGAAGCTATTGAAATGAATGACATACATTTGGTTCTCTTTGTCCTCTCAGCACGTGGCAAGTCTGAACCTCCCTGCTCTGTTGAACTCAGTCATGGACATGTGACTTTCTTTGGTCAATTAAATGTGAGCAGAAATGACGTATGTTACATCTAGGCAGAAACTTTAAGTCCTAGCACATGCTGCATCACACGAAAGAATTGATGTTTGGCTACTCTTTCTTTCCTCAGACACCACAACCAGTGATGTTCCAGTGATACTCTGCCAGCTTGACCCCCCGAGTGTGGATGACAGAGTAAGGACTCTAGGCAATCTGTCAAAGGCATATACATAGCATGAGCACAAATAAACCTACGTTGTCATCAATCATTAAGATTGGGACTGTAGTGACCAGCAGATGGTGAAATGGTTACTTCACTGGCCTCCCATGTAGTCAACGGTGATTTGAGTCCTGGATCTGGCAGCTTAAAACTCACACCGGATGCATGTGTGTGCATGTCCAAAATCTCGAGAGGAGAATGGAGGATTGCAGCATGGCCATACCACCCTGGAGGGTGATTTCTTGCTTTCTGTCTCTCTGACAAACACTCACACCCTATAGCAAAAATCTCTCTTAAAAAAAAGATTGGGATTATTGGGACCAGCAGGTGGCGTGCTGGTTAATGTACTGAACTCCCATATGGCTGACTGCAGTTAAAGACCCAGGACTGGTGACTTGGGTGCTTTCTGGTGAACACATGTGTTCTGTAGCAAATTAAAAAATGATAAATAACATTGAATGGATAATTATTTTCTTAAAACAATTGGGATTGGGAACCAGCAGTTAGCGTAATGACTATGTCACTGGACTCCCACGTAGTTGACCGCAGTTCGCGTCCCAGACCCGGTGGTTTAAAACTCATGCCGGGCGCGTGTGCATGTGTGCCCAAGATCCCGAGAGGAGAATGGAGGAGAAGGGATTGCGGCGTGACCATCCACTCTGGGGGGTGATTTCTCACTTTCTGTCTCTCTGTCTGTCTCTGTCTGGCGAGCACACGTGCCCTATAGCGAAAACGTCTCAAAAAAAACAAAAACAAAACAACAACAAAAAACAATTGGGATTGTTGGGGCCAGTAGATGGCATGGTGATTAATGTGCTGGACTCCCACTTGACTGATCATAGTTCGAATCCCAGACTTGGTGGCTTGCTCTCTCACTTTCTTTCTCTCTGCTTGAGCGCATGTGTCCTATCGAATTAAAAAGTAATAATAATAATTCTTTTTAAAAAAGATTGGGATTGTTATTGTAGTATCACCTAACCTACCCTTAGTTATACCCTTAACTTTAAATATATTTATTTTTTTATCAAAACCTGAAATTAAATACTTCCTATGGCAAGCCAGTGGCTGGTGGTTAAGGTATCTAGATCCCACATGGCCAGTTGTCATTTCAGACCCAGACCTGGCTGCTTGAGAAACACACTGGGAACGTGTGGTTGCATGCCCAAAGATTCTGAAAGGAGAACTGCAGAAGGGATTGTGATGTGGGCATCGTCTATGAAGGATGCTTTACTTTCCCCCTCTCCCTGTCTCTCTCTGAAAGAGCACACACTCTTTAGCAAATTAAAAACAAACAAACAAACAACACCCTGCCCAAACAACTAAACACATGATCTATTGTATCCTTCCCTTGAACAAAATCCTGAATGTATCTCCGCCTTCTATTTTCAGTCTTGCCTCTAATCATGTTAAAATTTAGAATTTTAATTGGACTTTTCATGTACACATTACCATTTAGACTTTTTCTGACTATAGGCACTTTTGATGATTACAAAGTGGATTGGTAGGTCACAAAACAAGAGAAGTTTTTCTGGTACCTTTGTTCATCAGTTTCTTTTATTTAAAAACCTTCTTTTGGGGCTGGCAGGTGACACAGTGGTTAAGGTGCTGGACTCCCATATGGCCCACCACAGTTTGAGTGCTGGACCTGGTGGCTTGTTTTCTCCCTTTCCCTTTCTCGCTCTCTCTGGTCAAATTATTAATAATAACAAATAAAGTAAATACTTCTTAAAAGAAGTAAAAACCTTCTTTCATGAATTCATTGTTCAGTTTGCTTAGTAACTCTTGGAGAAAGATTCCTTCTAAGCAATCTATTTGACGGAAACCTTGATACCAATTTGACATTACTTCAACAATTATTTGTGTACTTACCATATGCCAATTACTATGTACTCCTAGGATTCTTACTGTCACTAGTATTATATTTTGTCCCTTCGTAGAGCATATTGAGATCCCTCACATTTCCATCTCATGAATTTAAGCTGCAACTGAATCCATTCTCTCAAGATCTTCTCCTCCAGTCCATCTTCTGAGTGCTTCATTTTCATGGTCAAAATTTTAATGTCCAGAAACTCTAAATATTTTTTCCCAACATCCTATGCATTGTGGATACAATATCTTTATGCACTGAAGATCTTAATTGTATTAATTTTAAAATGTCTTCTGTTTCTACTATTTTCTTGAACAGCTTTTCATTTTGTGCGTTTTACATTACTGGTTTTCTTCAAATCTGATTCTTGGCTGTCCATATCTATAGAAGATGTCATAAGTTTAACGTCTGAAGTGCTTTTCCTCAGCCAAATGAGAATTCTGGTTGACTTTCAGTGAACACGAGTCTGGTTAGAGGCATCTCCAGCGATTATAAAGGGGAGTGGCTGGTCATGACAGCCAGAAAGGGAGTATGGGTTCCTTAACTTCAGTTCCTCCTTGTGGCTGTTTGGATAATGCCCTCATTCACCACGCCCAGCATTTTGTGTGTCAGAACTCCCATTTCAGATGATCATTTTCTTAGCCCAGTGGCAAAGATGAGTGGAATGGCTTAACTGCTCCACTCTTTAATTAATTGGTCCTTCAATACTGTTTTTTATCTTCTAGAAATTCCACACTGTTCATTTTTTGGTTCTCCACTCTGCTATTAAATTATTTTTAGTTTAATATTTCTCCAGTCATTTCAATGGCATTCTGGAAGAGTAAAAGCATGTGTTCAGTCACTTCTGTTAAATCATATATTCCAACACGTAGTTTATAATCAGAATTTTTTAAAAATGCAATCATCTCCTATTTTTCTGATTCTTGGAAAAACCAAGTCTTACTGTTCTCAGATTAGGGATTACTCTGTTTTATGTCTTTGTTTGTTCGCTTGGTTTTTAATTTTACCAGAGGACACATGCGCTGATCAGAGACAAAGGAAGAGAGAAAGTAAGAGAGCACCTCCCAATGGAGAATGTCACAGCACAGTCTCTTCTCCATCTCTTCCCCCTTTCGGGATTCTGGGCGCACACGCTTCTGTGCCCAGCATAGTTGTCAGGTTGGCCACATGGGATCTAGCTACCTTAACCACCAGGTCACTGGCTGGTCCAGGGGTTATTCTGTAAGTACCCATTTGGAATTTGACTGATTCCTGGACATAGTAATAGACAGGCAAGCAAAGGCAATTTTTGACCATCAGCAATTATGGGTGGATTGAAAGCAGGAGAGCAAGCTCCTCGTTACGGTTTCACATCTGACACTGTGTTAAAAAAAGGAATCTTGTTTATATACAGATTACATACACTGGTAAACACTCAGTAAAGGTATACAGTAATTGCTCAGTAAAGAACACACAGTCCTCACCTTCCCTAACCCAAATGAAAATATTCTATTTCAGTTGATATTGCTTTAGGTATAGAAAAGAAAGTTTAACAAAGAGTTCTAATCCGTGTCCTATGCAGTAAAATATCCACATTTATAATTAATAGTTTCAAATGATTAATAATATATATGAAAAATATAAAAGAATTCTAAAACTATAACTATGTGTATGTGTTGTCTTTCATAAACCTGTGGTCAAGGAAAACAGAGGCTACTGGGTATATTCACTTAACTTCTAATTCTTCCCATCTTATCCCCCAACACTAACAAGACACAATCATTTTAATGTATTTTATAATGTAACCCTCATCCTGATTTATTATTATAAAACATTTTGCTACAAGCACATGCACTCACAGGAGAGACAGAGAGGGAAAGGGAGAAAGCAAGCATCACCCTAATAGGGAATGGTCACACCACAATCCCTTCTCCTCCATTTCTCCATCCTGTCAGGGTTTTGGACACGTACAAATACACTCAGCGTGTTTTTTAAGCCACTAGGGCTGGGATCAAACTGTGGTCAGCCATGTGGGATCCAGCTCCCTTAACCACTAGGCTATGGGGCCAGTCCCACATGCTAATCTTAAAGATTCAGAATGAACATTAGTCCAAGGCAACTCTGAACAGTCTTCTAGGAAAGAAAAATAAATGTTTAATTTTAGTTAAGCTAAAGTCTCCCTTATGTTTGTTCACAAAACCCTTTCAATATGGACAGGAGAGGAAGTAGGACAAGTCCTATTTAAACATCAAAGTCCAATGGTCCCAAGGCTGTGGAAAACTGATCTCTGTGCTGTTTAATCTCTCCTTCATACTGAGGCTAACGATGCAACATGCAAACCTGAGAACATCATTTACCCTATGCATTAGCTCACCGTTTCCTAAGAGCCAGCTCCCATACAATTACCGATTATAAGATCTGCTTTCATGCTCCCGGCTGTGACCATGAACATCCTCTGTTACTGCCAGATGAGATTCCAGGAACTCTATAAACTACTCGTGTTTGTGGTTCCCTAAGTACACCACACTCACACTCCTGGCTCTTCCGCTTATGCTACTTCCTCCATCCTGAGAATCCTATTCCCTCATCTCTTTATTCACTACCTTTATAGAGAAAATTTAACTAATTTTTTCGCTTAGCTTAGGTATTTAGAAGACCTCTTTTTAGGTAACCTTTAGATGTCCGGAAATCTCTTTATAGGAACTTCCTTAGTTCCTCAGGTCTCCCTCCCTCAACACTGAATTCCCTCAGTATCCCATCTGAAATATCTGGTAGTAAGTCACTCCCTTGCATGTCTTCCCCCTCACTCTATTAAAGGGCCAAGATGACATCTGGTTCATTTCACTCTAAGAACACTCAATCCATGATAAGTGAGTGCCAGGGTATTATCTTAGCCCTTCTGAAAAGCAGGCAGGGCCATCTAGAAGAATCTGATACTCCAGCTTTTCTCTGATCTCACTTTCAAGTCAGTCTGACGGTACTAAAGGGCTTACCTATGCATGTTTCACCACAGAGGGGTAATTTTATCCGGAGATATATTCACACCCTTCCTACTCTGAAAACTCCCCAGGTGTGGTAGGGAAAAGATGTGCCTTCTGATAGTCCCATTCTTCCGTACTTCTAGGGGTCATTAGCTTCTCTCCTTATGCTGTTCTTTGCTTAATAGTATCTCCCTTAAGCCAGTTCTTGCTTAAGAGGGAAACAGGATAACTAAGTGATTAGGAGCATGGGTTTTGGTTCAAATCCCAGTTCTGCCACCTATTTACAGCTGTGCAATTTGTGGAATTCACATAATCTGCTTCCTGACTCCTCATCGATAAAATGGGCATGGGATCAGCAGGTGGGATAATGGTCAGGTCACTGGACCCCCACATGGCCAACCACAGTTCAAGTCCCAGACCCAGAGGCTTGAAACTCACAGAGAGCATATGTACGTACATGCCTGAAATTCTAAAAGGAGAATGGAGAAGGGAATGTGGCATGGCCATCTCCCCAGGGGATGATTTCTTACCTCCTGTCTGTCAAGCACCTTCACCCTACAGCAAAAATCTCTCTAAAATAAATAAATGAATTAAAAAAATTAAATGGGCATAACGGTTCCCTACTTTATATGGCTGCATGGTGAAATATGTAGGCACATGTTTGCTGATTTGGTTATAAATTAGGATATGTCAATGAGTTCTGGCCATGTGATTTTAATTTCCTTTAACCAAATGGTAAAATCTATTCCATTCATTCACCCCTGACCCTTTCTATTCCCCTTACCCTGCTCTGTCATTTTTTTTTCCCCTCCACAGAGTGTAAGTCCCATGAGGGTCAAGGTTTCACTTTGTTCACTGCTGAAAACCACAGCAACCAGAACGGTACTGTGCCTATTAGAATCCGTAAATACTTGCTGAATGAATGGTGCGAAGTGTCAAAGGAAAATATATTTATAATCATCGGAACAGAAAGCACAAAACTATTCCTTTTAATGGTTTTCTCATCCTGTATTTTAAGACACCATTGCCATGATGAAAACATAAGAAAATTTATTAAAATTTGAAGGCAAAACATAATTTTGTAAGATTAAGACTTATGTCGAGCGCGATAAAGAATGGATGCTTTCTTGAAATTCAAAATCCGATCCAAGCGTATCACTTTCAGAAAGTTCTAGTGGATTGAGTTTACTTTTATTCGTCTTAGATGAAACAGTCACTATTCTACTTTCTTTCTTGACAGAAATATATTTTTTCAAAGACTCGCTTTTAATTGGCTCATTAACGGAAGAGTTACTTTCCCTGATTCCTTTGCTTTTTCGGTTTACAGGAGAGTCAGAGCAGGAACTCAGGTCCTTTCCAGGCTGTTTCTTAGCAGAGTGCTTTTTTGTATATTCACCTGTTTTGGTTATTTTCTCTGAGGATGATCTGCTATTTCTGGACAACTCCTCTTTTTTTTGACTTCCGGTCCCGGAAATTACATCTGCTGAAGGAGAACATGGTTTGGCAATGAATCCTTCAAAGGACTCCTGTCCTGGCTCAGTGGCTGGGCCTCCCAGGTTGTCTTTGGAAATTATTTCAGCCTCCTGAGTAGAGACTGGCATGGGGAAGGAGTCGAGAGGCAAAGGAATTCTAGCATCACCTGTAATTTTCTGAAACTGGAGGGAAAAACAAAACAGAAGTTCAGTAATGAACAAAGTCAACCATTGAAAAGTAGAGTTCAAAACTTCAGTGTTACTGTGTGATTTTATTATTACAACAGTTAGTTGATTACTCAGATTTCTGGAATTATTCCTAGTTATATCTTGCCAAGTGATTCCCAACTTAGTTATATCTGGGGCTAGGTCTACCATATTTTCAGACTTTTATGTTTTGTGTAATTATTACCCATTTCCCGCACCTTCATTAAAAATGAGAGCCAGCCAGATCAGCGTGGTGGTTAAAGCAAATGGATCCCACATGGCCAACAGTGTGTCCCAAACCTGGGTCCCAAACCTGGTGGTTTGAAAAATATGCTGGGCACATGTGCATGTGTGCCCAAAATCCCAAGGGGAGAATGGGAAAGAAGGCTTTGTGGCACAATCATACCCCATGGGGGTGGTGCTTTCTCATGTTCTGTCTCTTTCCAGTGCCTGCACCTTTCAGCAAAAATTTAAAAAGATATAAGACCCTATTCCCTAAGAAAATTAGTTTCTTTTTTATCCTCCAAGCACATATCAGAAGCATCCAATTTGTGACTGGACTGAATTCTGAAGCTGTCAGTTCCCAAGGTGAGTCTGAGATTGGCCGAGATGAGAGGAAGGGGCTCCAAGTGAGGCAGGGGGAGAAGCAGCAGGGACGCCTGCACAGGCACACCTGCCCCCACGCCCATGAACCAGCGACCGCCTGCGTGTTTATACTGCCTGACGGGCACGTCTGGGTTGCTTATTGTTATCAACCATCTGCATCAGTACCTGTACCTTCATTAGTGTTCCTTCACTGTAAGCTGACTGCATACAAATAGAAACCTAGATGAAATACGAATAGAATAGACATTTTCAAAATTTAAAACTTGGAATACTTTCTCTTTCATTTCTTTAATAGGATAATCTGCTTTAAATTATAAATTCTCAAAAGAAGTTCCAGTTTTCTAATTCACAACAGTATCGTGAAATGGCCACAAACTAATCTCAGATATGGAATGGACCCCAAAGAAACTTCTGGCTCCAAAGCATGTGAACTACTAGAGACACAGTGCTACTACTTTCTCTCTGACTTAGCAAGTCCCTTTCTGCTAATCTCTCTTATAAACATTAAGTTCTGTTCTATCCACTTACTTGGATATTTTGCATTTGCTCTAGAGTATTTTGCTTTGGCTCTGATTTTCCCTCTTCAAGCGCCTTCTTTTCTTCATTAGGTGGACTACTGACAGTAGAATTCATCTGGGGACGACCTAATAAATGGAAATCTGACTGATCAATACCAGCCATTGTGGCAAGCTGCCCAAGCCTGGTGAAGAGGAGAGGAAGAAAAGAAAAAGGTTATTAGTATCACATTAAAATGGCTTAGATTTCCCCATACCTATAAGCATAAAATACTTCTAAAATCTTAAGAGCTAATATCCTTCTACAGATCACAATCCCCTCTCTCTCCTAATTTCTCAAGCTTTCCCATATTCATGCTCTGGGTCCATGTCAGATCATCCATCCTTTAAACACTCCTTCGCCCTGCAATAAGGTATGAACCGCTGCCTGATCTTATTTCCTTGCATATTACCACTCCATTTTAAACAGCTGCTAGCTGTCCCTTCTACCATGTACCTAATGCCTCTCACCTCCAGACACACAGCTTATCAACGTTCCTCCACTCTCTAAGATACCTGCTCCTTCCTCTCCAGCACCAACCCAATCACCCACAGACATCACAGGATCTATCTCCAACTCTGTCTTTCAGTATCTTCTTCCCACAAAATCATTTCTGGATGAAAATCACTGATTTATATCTACCCTGCAGATTAAGTAACAATGTTAATATCTAGGGCAAAGATAACTATCAAACTTATTTAGCAAGCAAAATGAATAAACTGCAGGAAAATTCCTATACATTTCTGAGTATTTTCAATTACTTACTTTTAACTTAGCTTTTACCAAGAATTATACGTACCAATTACTCTAGCTACAGGTTACTCTTTTGATGGACTTCTAGTAGGGCAGGTTTGTCATTTTACATTTCTTCTTAATTATCCATTAAAAAAATCATGGGTATTACTTATAATTACACACTAAATATAGCTGAGGGAGCTATGAAAATTGCTCGAATTCCGCAGCAAACTACCATTAGAGTCATGGAGGGAGGAATGCCATAGAGAGAAATGCACTAACCCAGCATCTTTAAGGAGATCCAAGAAAGCATGGAACTTCTGAAAAGAATTCTCAATGCTGCCCAAAACACCTTCATCATCCAGGATCATGCTTGTCGCTGACTGTGCTTGGAGGGCTTCAGACAGAGAGAAATTAATGTTTCTTAACTGCGCATTTTCATGTTCCAGCTAGAAAAGAAGAATGAAAATGTGTGACATGATTTTCTCTCAGTGTCATCAACAGAAGAAACAGTTTATAAGTATAAAAATAAGCACAAATGTTTCAAAGTGCAATTAATTTAATGCTCTATCAGTGAAGACAATGACCACATAACATAGCAATCAAAATCTAGAGACACGTGACAAAATTCCCTACATAACTCTTTAGTACATAAATAGACCCCAAATTGTTTCACTAATGATTTTTCAAAAACATCACACTTTAACTGGTTAAAATTTTTTACTTTATTTCTTCTATGAGCAAAAGAGAAAAAATGGGAGAGAAAGAGAAAGACACAGCGAGAAGGAACTCCAACAGGGTCTTGACACCACAATCCACTCCCAGCTTACGCCAGGCCCAGGGCAGGGCAATGTATGACCTGGAACACTTGGAGCCCTCTGCACTCACACCCAGACTCCTCTCGTGCATAAGCCTTGCAGAACATTGCATTTTATGGCTGTGCCACCATCCAGATCCCTAGTTGGGTGAATTTGTACAGGCTCAATCTATATTAGAAATTAGCCACTTAAGGTTTCCCTTAAATTAGAAGGTGAAATATAGAATCTGACCTGGACAAAGCGTTCCACAATTCTACTGAATGTTTAGAATTATTCTGCACGGCTTAATACTTAACGAGCAAGAAGTCCTACATCACACCCAATTCATTAACCATGCGATCACCGGTACTGCCCCACACTTGGCTTCTTGGAAATATTTACCCCCCTGAATGCTCCACCCCCTTGATAGCTATTCATCTAAGACAACATATAAGCCCGACTCTAGTATTTTCAGCAAGGTCATTTTGTTCATGACATACCTTTTACCTTACATAGTTTGTGCAAAATTTATTGGATGAGTAAGTGTCCTCTAATCCAGTGCATATGCTTTCAAAAATTCCTGTTTCATTTCACCTTATAATAATAAATTTAGATAGAACTCTCTAGCATATGCCTTGCTATTATGTACATTAATGTAATGTACCCTCATAGCTAGACTTTAATCTTTCATTGCATTGCTAGCAGTTTCCGTTATCTCGCACTATCCCTTTTCCTAACGCACTCTCAGGAGACAGTCGCACCACTGCTTTGATGGTGTTATATACAGTGCGAGCCCAACTACGTTCTCCAATTACAGCACCATGAACGTAAGCTTAGGCCTATCAAAGCACAGGAAAAAAAACCCAACAAAGTATGACTTTTACACTTTAAAAAACTGACATTTTTGGAATGTAAGCATATAACCACTAAACATAAATAAATACAAAGGTTAACATTAGTGCAACCAATCTGCAACACATTACATTTTTTCCACTTTAAATTTATAAAGTGTGTGCTTGTGTGTGGCTTAAGAGCAAATTCAAACAAAATTTTTAAATAGGGCAAAACTTTATTTACCTCGCTGACTCGTTTATCGGCCTTCAGCCTAATTACTCTTTCCTCCTTCAACTGCTTTAAGCATTGCTCCAGTTTTTCCTAGTATGAAGAAACAGAATAAATATTATAACTAGTTCACAACATGATCCCCAAAAGCTCTTTCAGCTATAGACCGCACCAAGTATTCAGGGGCAGAGCCAGAGGTGGTCTCAGATATGGAGATGAAGTCCTATCACACGTGGTATCAACCTGTGCCAGCCACAGCGACT